TATACAAACTGTGCAAACTACCCTTATCCGTCAATTTCATTTTTTAATCTTATGAAATTTTTTCATGTAATTGTTTAATATTATGAAATTTTTTCATATACTACCTTTTTTTGTAAAGTTGTTTCATATATGGTTATAAAATTCTTTCATCTAATACTTATGAAATTTGAATGAAACTGTTTTATGTATTTTTCTAATACTAATATACTGAAGATGATAATATCCATGATTAACACCCTCCACAATAAAAATGATTAATCAATATCTCATAATTACAAAAAAATGAACAAAATAAATATGAATTCAATCAAGTTTGACAAAATACATGAAATAAAAGAGTATGACAAGTTAATGTATATAACGTGGGTCAGATTTTATACGTATCCAACCGACTAAACMCATATAGATATATGTTAGATCAACAACAATCATTTATATCAATCCAAATCCAAACTTTTAACTAATCCTAATTAAACATAACATATTCAATGAAATAATAATTCATGTTGTTTATTCTATCAATCAATTTTAACTTGAACCAGAACCGACAATAACTACAAGAAATCAATTCACTTGATCGTTGATCTATGCATTCGTCTATATCTATTGACCTTTTATCTAATAAAAGAAATTGGATTTTAAATGTGTTTCTAAAGGCTCCGATCGTTTTTGGTTACGTTCAAATTTGTAACTTATTCCATGCGTTCAATCCACAAGCATAATGAGCATTGTATGTAAAGTTATCTGTTATTTTTGAAAGAGCAAATTGCATGAAAAGTAACGTACTTACAAAACTTTTATTTTGATATCTAAGATGTAAAATTTTAAACATTTAAGTACTTAGGTAACCGAAACTGGTTACCATGCTAATATGGTGAGTGATGTGATATCCAACTCAGTATTATTTACTATTCAACCCCAATTTCATCTTATCACTCGTCACATCAACAGAATAACCGGTTAATGCTTCGACCGGTTTCCCGGATAATGTTTGAAATTTTACCCTTTTTGAAATTGAATGAAAACCTTTACAAACTTCGGATGTCATGTTTTCCCGTTACTTTTCTTTTACCAGATCTATCGATTTCCACCCAATGATTTCCTCTCATTCCGTCAAGATTCAAGAATCCCATGACTGATGACCCTCTCTGCATCTCCCCCAATCCCCATGACTCTTKGCTCCTCCTCACTGAACTTATCGAGATCCCAACTCGAATTTAGACACCAAATTGCTTRATTTTTCATCTTACACAAACACGTTCTTACATTTCTTTCTGAATTCTGAGTTGAAATGGGTGGYTTTGCTTGGTCGACTTCAGCCTTTGATACCAAGTCAGGGCGGATCATACTGTTGGCTCTTCTAGTAATGGTTGCTACTTTCTACATCGGCACATTTTTTGGCCGGAATCCTTCGTTTTATGTRGATCAATTTGCCTTAAATGCTTCATCATCGAAATCATCAGGTGCCCTTTTCTTGTTTGTAGCTACTCTTTACGAATTACCCAAGGGTTTCTTTAACAAATTGTGATATTTGGACATGATACACTGGAATCCAATTCTGCTATATACATTGTGGGTTCTTTTCAGTTTGAACACCTAAAGCACTTCTTAATTAGTTGAAGAGATTGTGTGATTCTGGTCTCATTGCATACAYCCTTCTTTTCTTGACCTAAAATTTTCCCCAAATCCCAGATAGCATTTAGGAGTTCAGATCATCAAGATTTCTTGGATATGGGATCTGAATGAAACAGAATTCCTGTTTCAATGAACACTGGTTCTTGCTATTAGCAGCTTTGGAGGACCAATATGCTATATTAAGTGTGAATTTGTGCTGTGTTCTTTCTAATATTAATAACATATCCAAGAATTAGAAACTGTTGGTTTTTAAGTGTGAATTTGTGTTGTTTTCCTTTCTAATATTAATAACAAATCCAAGAATTAGAAACTATTGGTTTTTTAAGTGTGAATTTATGTGAGAAGGGGCTTTTTGTAGATTGCAGGTTGACACTTTGAAAGTTTATTTGCATTGATCAATCTTTTATGTTTTCAGGCAATCCTGCATTTGGTAATAGAGTTACTCTTACTCATCGACAGTCGCCAATTATGATCCCAGAAACTGGGATGAACATATGCCCTATAGAATTCAATGAGTATATTCCTTGCCATGATCCTTTGTATATCAATGAATTGCTTCCAAATTTAGATCACTCCAAACGTGAAGATTTGGAAAGGCATTGTCCCCCATTAGAAAGACGCTTATTTTGCTTGATACCTCCACCGAACGATTACAAGATACCTGTGAGATGGCCAACTAGTCGAGACTATGTGTGGAGGAGCAATGTGAAYCATACACATCTTTCTGAAGTAAAAGGCGGGCAGAATTGGGTGCATGAGAAGGATCAACTATGGTGGTTTCCAGGGGGTGGTACCCATTTTAAACATGGAGCTACTGAATACATTGAGAGGTATCTCCTATGGACTCTTCTTTTAGTGGTACTTGGGATCATGTGAGACCAGCCTGTTTTTGTTAGACCGGTGACACCACAAAATAACACTGAACCTTCACARCAAAACACTGTGAAGACGAAAACAGGCTGGTCTCACGAGAACCCAACCGTCCATTTAGCTGTTAAGTTGCGTTGAGTACATATCTATCTTGAAATTTGTTCTTCACGGAAATAGTTGCTCTACTTTTTTGAGGGTAGAGACCAGGTTTGTGTGCATCCCATCCCCTTAACCACCTCCGGGTGGGATATACTAGGCTTGTTTAGTTTGGGTTGGTTTACCCTTAGCAGAAGATTATTAATTGCTTATAATGAAAGTGAAACTAATGTAGTGTTTACCAGATTGATATCGAAATTTGAAATATTTAGATTAGCGTAATTTGGTGCTAAGTAAAAACATTTAATGTGAAGGGATGAGAGATCTAATGTGACTAAAGAATTTTAGGAAAGCCATTATATCTTGATGCATACCGCATTACTACGTTAATTTTTATGATTTTTGCAGAATGGGAGCATATGTCTGAGTAAAATAGGTTTTACATTTTTTAGGAAAGCCATTTGAGCATACATTTTTTAGGAAAGCCATTTGAGCATACATTTTTTCGAGCCAAACACATTTATATGTTTACAAGTTATATAAGCAAAATATAAAAATCATCGAGCTTGAGTAAATAAATGAGTTAATCAATTCGAGCTCATAAACGAGCATTTAGTTCGGGTTCAAACATTGAAAAAATATTCGAGCTCGAGTTCGAGCCCGACTTTGAAAAACTTAATCKAGCTCGAGCCTGATATTATTCTTTGAGCCGAGCTCAAATAACTTGCTAGTCGACCCTTTTCGTTTACACCCCTATCTGCATACATCCAGGGATGGACCCAGATTTTTTTTTCAAAAGGTGGCACCACTTGRCTATAAGAAACAAATATTGGRAAAAAAAATTCAAGCGGTGGCACCATTTGACTAAGAAGATGACACTAACATGATTCGAACTGGGGTCTAGGTTGGAAGAAAAGCCTTGCAAACCAACTCTACCAAAKAAAACTTGTTCTCATTGTAGTTTCAAAGTACATAGGGTGGCACACWACAAATTAATACGGTTGCACCTTTCACGAACCTAAACTCTTTTACCCTTCGACGGGGAGGAATAAGTTGGTGGCATGTGCCACCGGTGGCACCATGCTGGGYCCGTCCATGCATACATCTCACCCGACCCCACCTCTGAGTGGCATATTCCAGGCTCTTTTGGTTTGGTTTGGTTTGGTTTATACTTTTATTAGTAGTATCTAAATAAAGTTAGACTAGTTAGAACTACCAACGAGATTGATATTTGATATGGATTTTACCTTTTTTTTAAATCGTGTGGTTTATGTGTATATTTATTCAGATTAGGGAATATGACTACCAACGAGACAGGTGATCTTCGTTCAGCTGGRGTTTATCAGGTTCTTGATGTTGGTTGTGGGGTTGCCAGTTTCTCTGCATATCTTCTTCCCTTAAACATACAGACCATGTCATTTGCTCCAAAAGACGGCCATGAAAATCAAATTCAATTTGCTTTGGAGCGTGGGATTGGTGCTATGATATCTGCTTTAGCTACAAAACAGCTACCATACCCCAGTCACTCTTTTGAAATGGTTCATTGCTCACGTTGTCGTATTGATTGGCACGAGAACGGTAATCTTTGCATCATAGAATTCATCATCACTCAAGTTTGGCTTTATAATATACATATACTCCCTCGGTCCYAGAATAAGTGTCCACATATCTATTTTAGTTTATCCTAAAAATAAATGCCTACTTTCCTGTTCTACCYTTAATTATGAAATGGAAAACTCATTACTCCCTCCGTTATTGTGGGTAAAATTGTCATTTTGTTAATTAAAACTGTCTTTTTTATTGTGGRCATTTATTTTTGGGACGGAGGGAGTATTGAAYGAGCTTCAGATTCTTATGATGGTAAGACATGCCCAGGCTCTTCTCCCATTTCGTGAATTTGATTTTAAATGATACGTGCAGATGGCATTCTTCTAAAAGAAGTGAATCGACTTCTTCGTCCAAATGGGTATTTTGTATATTCAGCTCCTCCAGCTTATAGAAAGGACAAAGATTATCCCATGATCTGGGAGAAGTTGGTGAACATAACTTCTGGAATGTGCTGGAAGCTTATTGCTCGGAAAATTCAAACAGCAATATGGATAAAGGACGCTAGTCAGTCTTGTCTTCAACGCAATGCAGAGCAGAAGCTTGTAAAAATATGCAATTCAGTGGATGTAAATAAGCCCTCATGGAAAACACCATTAAGAAACTGTGTTACACCAAGTTCCACAGGTCCCGAGTCTCAGAAGCTCCCTCCTAGGCCTCAACGTCTTTCGGTATATTCAGAAAGTCTCAATGATATAGGTGYGTCCCCGGCTCCGACCTTTATAATGGCACTACAACAGAATCGGCTTTATAAGGATCCAAATATGTCTAATTGTCCTAATAGACTGCTTTATAGAACTTAAGTTTATAGGACCAAACAATTATACGTCTTATGTAATGGTGTTAGAATAAGTTGATAGGATGCTTTTGGGCCTACTAACACATTTTTTAAGACACTTTTGAAAAAAGTTCTATTAGTCTTTTTATGACTATTTGAAAAAAATGTCTTATAAAAACTAGCGTCCTATAAAAAGATGTGTTTGTAAGACATTTCTAAAAGATGTCCTATAAAATAGCTAATAAGACACTTCATTAAAGYGCCATAAAAAGCTGATTAGGACGCTCAAAAGGTCATACCAACTTAGTATAACACTTTTACATAAGAAGCACAATTGTTTGGTCCTATAAGCTTAAGTCTGGTAAAGCCATTAGGACATTTAGGGGYTGTTTGTAGATTAATCTGTCTGTATAGATTTAGCATGTTTTTGAATTGGAAGCGACATGTTTGGAAAAAAAATTGGCTTTCTGCAAAAAGCTCCCCCTAGAAGCCTACTGAAAAAGTCACTTTCTATATCATTAAACCCCTACCAGACAATCATTTATAGTTGACCRAATAAGCTGTGAGTCCCATTAAGCTCATTAAGTTGTTAACAAACAGGCCCTTATACCTATTTGGCATCCTATAAAGCTGATTTTGTTGTAGTGAGGTGATGGCTTAACYAATTTGACAAACTGTATTATGCTGGCTGCAGGTATCACTCAAGAAATGTTTCTTTCAGATACGCTCTACTGGCAAGATCAAGTTCGTCATTATTGGAGGTTGATGAATACGGATGAGACATCCATTCGAAATGTTATGGACATGAATGCYCTTTATGGTGGATTTGCGGTTGCCTTTAGTACTTGGTCAGTTTGGGTAATGAACGTAGTCCCTGCAACAATGGAGGACACCCTGTCTGCTGTTTATGACCGAGGCCTGATTGGCKCTTTCCATGATTGGTAAGTCAAAAATAGGAACTAAATCTGACCACCAATTTTGCTTATAATGATAGCCATTATGCGAATCTAACACTGCCACCTGTAGGTGCGAGCCTTTCTCATCATATCCACGCACATATGATTTGTTGCACGCAAATTATCTCTTCTCCCACTACGAAAACCACGTTGAAGGTTGCTTATTGGAAGATATCATGCTAGAGATGGATCGTCTTGTACGACCTCAGGTAACTTTTTGTTCTGGTGTTCTTTTTGTAACCGTGGGTATCTGGGCCAGGTTGTCTGCATCTCGACTAATGGAGCCYTGAAGTTAATAGTCAAACAAACCTTTTAGTGGCCCTGAGGGGACTTGAGCTGGTTACCAATAGGGAACAAACTCAAAGCCTTACCAAATGAGCTACTAGCGAGGGGTTTTCTTTCTAGTGTTTGTTAAACGTTAAATTACCTTCTCAGCACGATATAAAAGCAGGGTCCTTCCTAACCAGTTTGAGCAAAAGGTTGATTACTGGCAATCCTGACGGGCCCCACATGGAGCCCACCTCCTAGGAACTACATGTGAGGAGGCATTTCAGAGCTGACTCAGCAGCTGAGGCTAGCAAAGGGGTTCAAGCCCATCTCCCGCAGGATTCAAACTTGAACCTGTTGTGTATTTGAGCAAAKTCGCCAGAGTAATATGTCTAAACTACCATAAACTSCAAGTCCGTAGATTTTACCAATTGACACAAATATCCCAACAAAATCCCACTTGTGAAGAGATAGAATCAAGTTACAGTTCTTGACTTAGAATGGATATTGGATACYGGACATGAACGTATATTTGCAGAATTTCCTTTTTAGGAAGTTTTTTCGCTTATCGTTGTTACAGACGAATTGATATCACTTTGAAACTTGATTTACTCAGGGGTTTATGATTATTAGAGACAATGAATTGATCATATCAAGAATAAGGGATCTTGCACCAAAGTTTCTTTGGGAGGTGACTTCACATGTACTGGAGAATCGAGAAAGGGTATCAGAAACGGTTTTAATTTGCCAAAAGAAGTTCTGGGCAATCGTCTAACGGCGATGTAGCCATCAATTACAAGTTCAAATTCTTTAACTCGACGGTTAATTTGTATAATGAGGCTGCATACTCGCTCTGTACTATTAGTTTGATGAACTCTGTAGATTAGTCTCTGTATACCCTAAACCCCATCCATTGTTTTGTTCATCGTAAATACTAAATTTGTTCTCAGAAACCACGGAGTTTATGTTCAGTTTAAGGGGGCATTTGGCTCACATCATGTTCGTAAAAGGAATTTGACTTTGAAGGAATTGGAATGAAATTTGATTACATTATTTGGAATGAGATCTGTTCAAGGATTTGGAATTCAGGAAGTGAGGTGATGTTAGCATTCATCATGACCTTCTATCACTTTCTTGTTTTCAAAATCTAGATTAGATTTATGTTTAATTATGCATATTTCTTGAATTTGTGTCAGTTTTGGTATTTGCTTACACATTTTACTGGTCGGGGGTCGTCACAGAAACAACTGTATATGTATTACTTGTTAGAATTTTGGTTCATAAGTGTTTTAATTCGATTACGCAACAATCGAGYTGTCAAAAATATCGAACTGTAATCCACAACGGATCATCATCAAATTCTTGCTAACCGATCACATCCGACTCAAAATCTAGCCTTCTTTTTGGTTTTGTATGCCCAAAAATGGGAAGTTGTTAGTCGTCAATCTTTTTACGCACGATTTACGTCATGAATAATRCTTCATATCAACATCGACAAGAACAAAATAATTCCCATACATGAACTTTGCATTCAAAGTTTTGAATGATTTCGATGTGTTAAAAATTGACATTTTTTAAATTGACCATTGACTTGATACTGAATTCAATATCGTTATCGTCAAACCTGATCCTAAAATTGTAAGTAGCGTCAGGCATGATCATAAACCGGTTACCATGTTGATGTGACGAATGATGTGGTATCCTATTCAATATTATTTGCTATTCAACCCAATTTCATCCCATCACTCGTCACATCAGCATATTAACCGGTTAATGCTTCAACCGGCTACCCGAGTACTTAAATGTTTAAAACTTTACATCTTATGTACCAAAATGAAAGTTTTAAAAGTATGTTACCCGGAATCAAAAGTAGGTTGCATTTTCATGCAATTTGCTCTTTATTTTAACCAGATAAAGAATAATGTAACTGAAATGATTATAATTCTTTTATCAAAATGATAAATAATTTTATTTTAATGGAGAACAAAAAATTAAGAAGACCGAAACCATCGGAGGGTATGTTTACGAGATCTTGAAATCAGGACCATTAACTCCTTCACCACCTATAAATTCATTCTTTACAACCAACGGATTTGTCGTCCAGATCGCCCGATTTTCATTCATCACCACCATATCAAACTACATGCATTTTTAAACCAACCTTCACCCTTTCTTTCTTWCGATCTCAATCGTTTTCTTTCATTTCAATCTCAACGGTGAGTGTCCAATTCCATTGATTTCTACCGTATGTTCTTCATTCTTTTCAATTTTTCTTTGATTCCGAATGTGGGTCTTTTGGGCGTTTTCAATTCAAGTGAATTGACGCTGGATCGTCTTCTTGTTCAGATACGAATGCAATTCTGTATTAATGTGTGTATTTGACGTGATGATCTGCRAGGATTGTTTACAATGTTATTGGTTTCGATTACTTTTGTCACCCTTTTAAGTGGAGACATGATACCCTTCTGATCCTCTTGCTATCGTGGTTCTTGACTGAATTCCTTRTTAATGAATTGTGTCTGTCTACATAATCAAATCATCATGCAGCCTTTCTATTTTGATTCATTAGTTTTCAAGAAYCTATCCTGAATCAGTATTAGGTTTCAAATTTGAATGACAACAACGATATTTAACAGCCATGGATTCTTCCTTTCTGGTATGATGAAAATTGATTCCCATCCAAACATTGGCTTGGGCTGTGATGGGTCATCATTTATCTTTGATTTGCTGGGCTACTCATATGTCTAATGGCTAGATGTTAYGGCAATTCTTGATTTATTGGTTAGTTTTGGTCTGTAAAACAAGATGTTTAGAGAAAATGTTCTTGTGGCCATGGTGAAATATGCAGAATCACTAAGGTTTTCATCTTTTAACTGAATGGAATATTTGCAAGTGTTTTAAACTAATGCAGTGTTCATGTTTCCTAATTGTGTCATCCTTCTATGGTATTTGAATATCGGAGTTCCAATTGATGATGCTGTAAGTTTCTTCGGATGCTACATAAAATGTTCTAATGGTTCATTTCACCTCGTCATTTTTGGTGATTCTTGATTTATTGGTAAATTTTGGTGTCGAYGAACAATAATACAGATATCACAAGACGTTTTGATATGAGGGTGAGTGTCTTTCGGATATAACGTTGCTATTTCAATACAGGAACTAGAAGATGGCGGAATCAGAAGATATTCAGCCCCTTGTTTGCGATAATGGAACTGGAATGGTCAAGGTATGAAGWTACTCCCTGTTCTGGATAGATAATTTGATTTGTGTCCTTTTCTAAAGCTTTTGTTTATGGTTTTGAAGGCTGGATTTGCTGGAGATGATGCCCCAAGAGCAGTTTTCCCTAGCATTGTTGGGCGCCCACGTCACACGGGAGTTATGGTTGGGATGGGTCAGAAGGATGCATATGTGGGAGATGAAGCTCAGTCGAAGAGAGGTATTCTTACTTTGAAATACCCAATTGAACACGGTATTGTGAGCAACTGGGACGACATGGAAAAGATTTGGCATCACACCTTCTACAATGAACTCCGTGTGGCTCCAGAAGAACACCCAGTTCTTCTTACTGAAGCACCCCTTAATCCAAAAGCCAATCGTGAAAAGATGACACAAATTATGTTTGAAACCTTCAATGCTCCTGCTATGTATGTTGCTATTCAGGCTGTTCTTTCACTGTATGCCAGTGGTCGTACGACTGGTGAGTGAGGAGTTTATTGTATGTACTCTAGTTACAAAGTGGGATATATTCAAGAAACATGAATCATTTGGCTTCTGTTTGATTCTTTATACAGGTATCGTTCTTGACTCTGGAGATGGTGTCAGCCATACGGTTCCTATTTACGAAGGTTATGCACTCCCACATGCTATTTTACGTTTGGATCTTGCTGGGCGTGACCTGACTGATGCCTTGATGAAAATTCTTACTGAACGAGGTTATTCCTTCACAACATCTGCTGAGCGGGAAATCGTGAGAGATATGAAAGAGAAGTTGGCCTATATTGCACTTGACTTTGAACAGGAGCTAGAAACGGCCAAGACTAGTTCTGCAGTGGAAAAGAGCTACGAGTTACCAGATGGGCAGGTGATCACCATTGGAGCTGAGCGTTTCAGGTGTCCTGAAGTCCTTTTCCAGCCATCCATGATMGGAATGGAAGCTGCTGGCATTCATGAGACCACATACAACTCCATAATGAAGTGCGACGTGGATATTAGGAAGGATTTGTATGGAAACATCGTGCTCAGTGGTGGTACCACCATGTTTCCTGGTATTGCTGATAGAATGAGCAAGGAAATCACTGCACTGGCTCCAAGCAGCATGAAGATTAAGGTGGTGGCTCCACCCGAAAGGAAATACAGTGTCTGGATTGGAGGGTCGATCTTGGCTTCCCTCAGCACCTTCCAGCAGGTGGGYATCTTTAATCTAATCTTGTTACGCTACTTTCTATCTATCTTGTGTTTAAGGCTAGTTTCTGATGCTAATTAATCTAACGTTTGTTGCAGATGTGGATCGCGAAGGCTGAATATGACGAGTCTGGCCCTTCTATTGTGCACAGGAAATGTTTCTAATCATGGAAAGAATGAAGAAAAAAGAACAATCGGTACTGTTCAATACACAATTCAGGTTCAGGAGACGTTGCTTTCTCGCCATCTCCATTCCCCCGTTTTTCCACATTCAGATTTTCATCCAGATTATGAAGCTTGAGCAGGCAGGTTGTTTCCCAGAATAATTTCACAAATCTTTTATATAGTTAACTAGTTTTTGTTACGCAAAAGTTGTGTTTTTTTGTTTCGACAATGTACTTCCGCTGTAAGGGATTTGTTTCTATGAATGAATTACTTGTAGCAGTATCGGTTTACCATAATTCAATTCAACTGTGCAATTACTTGCATCCCATTTGCAAGATTTGAAATTTTATTTTCATATAATATACAATCTTGAATACGCATTTCTTGGTATATCAGATGATCTAYGAACACGGTCAACCCGAAACAGTAATAATATTAAGAAGTTATGCCCAATTTCATAAGARCTAAAGGCTGTTCCTAAACCAATGATTAAGAAGTTATTCCCAATTYCATAAACAAGATAGATGACAAAGATTAAGAAAGTACCCATGTTCAATCATCCCCAATTGGGAACAAAGTCAGAGCTTTTTTCTCTTGAGCAGATTCCAGATCATCCACATAAGATGATGATACTGAATTATGGACTGGAGTCCCTACCCTGTGAACAGGCTGAAGGGATTGTCTACTCAAAAACTGATGATTCGATTGATTGGACCCAAAGTGCCGGTGGAGATGATGATGCCCTGCCACCGCCACGGCCGCCATCTGTTGGTGGTGATGTTGCTGTTGAAGTGCAGCCGCCGGCATATATGGCAAGTAATTGTCAGGTTGATGGAGAAAATGAGGAGGCACCGGAGAACTTGCAAACAAACGATCGGTGGCGGGGTCTCCGCCGGACCCAAATCCACCACCACCACCGGAAGACAGACCCTGCATACGTTTCAAGTAAAGCCTGTACTTCTGTAGATGACTCGCAACGTTTTCGCGAGTCAACCCGTCGACACTCATGAGCTGCATTATGGTCTTGGGGACGGCGTTCTTGATCCCTAAATGAGCAACRGCGTCCACAAATCGCTTGTGGAGCTGCGGTGTCCAGACCAGACGAGGACGCTTTAAGGTGCGAGCTGGTTCATCTCCACCACCACCACCACCGCCAAGATCCGATGAATCAAACTCCCCCGAATTGGGTTGCGACGAAGGGGTTGAAATCGGCGATGGCTGCTGAAGTGAACGGTGGTGGTGGTGGTGATGGTGGTGATTTTGTGGGGTGTGGGAAGTTCCGATATCGAAGGCAATCGCAAGATCAGGCGTAATTAGGGTTTGCGTTAAGGGCATAAGCTCTTCTGGCTTGGGAAGCTGTTCTTCCCACTTTGAAAACCAATTGGAATCATCTTCCCTCATGTCTGGTTCCCAAATCAAAAATCAAAACCAAAATAAAAAAGGCGAYTACTTGAAGAAGAGCATCTGGAATTGAGATTGCATCCAATCCCTTTCCAGAAAAGATTCGAGGTTTGAAGAATGCGAAAATGGTGGTGGGGGTTCGAGGTGGATCTTGTTGTTTCCTTTTCTATAAAGTTTTAATAGCCTATATTCGGTTACCTTATCATTCTTTCCTAGATTTAAAGCAATTATGGTCCGTTTGGTAAGATGTCAATCCAATCATCATCATAACTCCACATTTCACAAATCCCCATAAATTTATCATTTTTGTTYCGTTCCGTCATGTCCAATTTAATACTGAATAAAAAAAATTAATACTGACGTGTTTGAATGTGAGTTGACATTCCCGTAGAATGCGTTGATTGCGCTTGAGGACTCTTGATATCTCTTCCTAGGTTGTGAAACTACGCAACAATGTCGGCAACGAGCTGATTTGACAAGTACGATATTAGTATTGTTGATGTCACAACATCTGTGGATTTGGTTGCTTAAAATGGTTAAAAAAAATATCAACCACATGATGGCGCGATATTATGGAGCATTTGGAAAGAAAGAAACTTGAGAGTTTAGATAAAGCTGTCTCAAGAGTGTTTGAGATGATAGTTAGATCGCCAACGGAAGATTAGATAGAAGAGAGAAGAATAGATGAGTTATATAGAACAAAAGATGCACACGACAAATGGCACACGATGTTAGCACCGYTCTTGAATTGCAACAACGAAACAAAAATTTCCCAAGATCGTGGGACTTGAGGGATGGGTATGATGTTACGGAATGGATAGGCATGGGAATTGGGCGGAGATGGGACAGGGACCCCGATCCCAATCTTCGTCCTCRTTCCCATCCCCTTMCCCAGCGAGAAATATGATCACATTCYCATCCCTCGTTCCCAACGGGGAATCAGGGATTTTTCCATGTTAACGTGGGATATTATAAATCAAAAGTGTTAAACACCATCATCAATTGATAATGGTTCATGTTTCARTCTCACATATTTTCAACATTTGTTTTTATGTAGTATCAAATATTCATATTTCACATAATCACAGCATTGTATGTAATTGTTTGATCAAACGATTTCGACTTTCAACATTTTTTTTATCTAATAAGAAAGTAAGACAACTTAGAGAAAATATATTTAAGAYAAATGTTGAAATACTATTTCTAAATCTAAAAGATAATAAACGTAATTCTTTATATAACTATATTTAATAATATATGTATATATANTTTCCTTTCGGGCGGAGCCACCACCTTAATCTTCATGCTGCTTGGAGCCAGTGCAGTGATTTCCTTGCTCATTCTATCAGCAATACCAGGAAACAGACAAATGTTGAAATACTATTTCTAAATCTAAAAGATAATAAACCTAATTCTTTATAAAGCTATATTTAATAATATATGTATATATACACACACATACATAAAGGAGGTTTACTTTGCAAATCACGTTATTTGTACAAACCGTAATAACCTCATTCAACCAATCATAATTTTTTATTTTGTTCATTTTTTATAATTATGGGAGGGTATTAATCATGGATATTATCATTTTCATTATATTAGTTTTAGAGGAAATACATGAAACAGTTTCATTAAAAATTTCATAAGTATTATCTGAAAAAATTTCAAGAAAAAATTTCATAAGATTAAACAACGAAATCGACGGATGAGGGTGGTTTGCACGATTTGTCCAAATATGGATGGTTTGCATTTGATCGCTCCTCTATATATATATATATATATATATATATATAATATTTAATATACGGGGATGGGATGGGCCAGGCCAGGGACCACGTTGTCTGTCCCTGTCTCCATCCCCGGTTTTTAACTTTCTAAATTGTATTAATTTCTTGTGTGTCMYCATATATATTTTGAAACTACAATGAGAACAAATTTTCTTTAGAAGAATTGGTTTGCAAGGCTATTATTCTACCCTAGACTCGAGTTCTAATTTTGTAAGTGTCATGTTCTAAATTAAATGGTGTCACTGTTTGAAAAAGTTTTCYTTTGTTTATTTCTTATAGTTTAGTGGTGCTACCATTTGAACTTTTTTTCCTATATTTGTTTCTTATAGCCAAATGATGCCACCCTTTGAAAAAAAAATTGGGTCCTGACCTTATCAGACAACATTCTCTACATATTAAAATAGATTGTTGGTAAGTGTTTCTTATCCAATAGGCGCTAACCAGATACTGGGGTATGAGTCTTTTCACTTAATACCAAGTAAGATTCTAGCGGTCTTTACCATGCTCACCATGTAAGGTAAGTGTTTAGCCGACAAGCCTTTGATAACCTTATATATATGGTTGGGTTCACGTGATACCACTATGTTTTTGTGAGGCCCGTGAAACCACTTTTTACACTTGAAACTTCACAGGAAAACGTCGTGAAGGTAAAAAATGCCGGACCTTCACAACAAAAACATTGTGAAAGTTACTTTCACAGTGTTTTGCTGTGAAGTTTCAAATGTAAAAAAGTGATCTCACGGGTCTCACGAAAACAGGTTGGTCTCACGTGAACTCAACTCTTTCTCTCTCTATATATATAGATCTAGAAATCTGGTATATAGAGGAAAAAGGATACGTTTTTTGTTCTAGTAGTAGGTATATATAGGYGTAAGTGGCTGTCACAAATTAGCAGTTTTTGTGACAGTTTTTGCTATTCACGACACCTCGAACTGTTGCCACTGTTCAAACAGGTGCCATTCACACGGAAGCGACGGTCAGCCTTTTGCWTGAACCGTCGCATCTGTTCCAACACAAGTACACAACCCTTGATGTGAACCGTCATATTTGTTCACGAACAGGTACCTCTTCAATCCAACCGTCACATATAACAAACCATTGCGATTGATCGAAATACCCTTTCGTGAACCGTCATGAATACACAACCAACCATCGCGACTGTTCAAGTAATYGACAGTTGAAATGAATTATGAAAACCCATACTGCTACAAGTAATTCATTCATAGAAACAAATCCCTTACAGCGGACATACATTCTTCAAACAAAATCAATAACTATTTATAACTATTTCAAAGATTTCTCATGAAATTATTCTGGGAAAACAACCTGCCTGCTCCCCATCAAAATCTGAATGTCGAAAAAACAAGATAACGAGAAAAAGCAGCGYCTCCTGAACTGATTCGATTATTAGAAACACTTCCTGTGCACAATAGAAGGCCCAGACTCATCATATTCAGCCTTTGCAATCCACATCTGCAACAACCATTAGAAACTAGCATTTAGAACACATGTYAGATAGAAATCGGGATAATAAGATTCGATTAAAGAATCCCACCTGCTGGAAGGTGCTGAGGGAAGCCAAGATCGACCCTCCAATCCAGACACTGTATTTCCTTTCGGGCGGAGCCACCACCTTAATCTTCATGCTGCTTGGAGCCA